CCTAATACAACTAGAATAAAACCTTAATAAACCAATTGTTGGAACGTTAGCTCGCTTGAGCTGTTTAAGGAAGTAAAGACGTTTACACGCTTTCTTTATGGTTTCGTCCACATGTACGTTCCATGGTTGCTTGTAATTGTCAGGAATGTCATGACACTATCCAAGATACGCCCCTTAGGCAAGCATGGGTTTTTGATGTACATGTAAATTTTAAAAAACAACAGGGCGAAGACTTCTTTTATTAATCACCAGTCCCCGGGGAGGGGGGGTCTCAACCCCGTTTTAGATAGGTACGTGCCGCCAGCGGTCTAAAACCCTGATCCTGTTTAAGACACTAGAAAGTGATAATCCATACCCTGTTCAAGACAACCACTTACAATCAAYGGTCAAGCCCTTAAAGTCGTCCAAGATGCAAAGTTATTGGGCCTCACAATTAGGAATGTCATTGTTTGTGCCTACACAGCTAAAGGTTTTGTTTTGAATATTTAATGCGGTCCCAGTGAAACTATGCAAATTTGGTCCTGTTTGAGAATCTTGAGAAATCAGAGAATCCGGAAGAGGACTTGAAATAGATGCAGTGACATTGGATGTTATGCTTTCTAGTGTAAGGCCTACATGCGTAAGTGACGATTTAAGTTTCCTTGCACCAGCTCTGCAACCCCCTCGATATGGCATTGTTTTTGATATCCCGAGTCAGCAGAGTGAGCAGCATAAATTAGAACTCAGATTATTACTTACCTGGAAGGTAGATATCTCTTTTAAAATAGATTTTGAATACACCAGTGCCATTAAAATTAATAATAAAGGCCAGTGGGTAGGATAGGAGCAGCACAACATAGTCAAAGTTGACAAAATTTATGGAGCAGCAGCAGACATGTGCAGCCTGTGAGGCGCTCTTGCATATTTTAGCCATATTTAGTTCATCAAATGAGCAATGTTGACATAGAAACAGCAGTTTATGTACATATATTTTGGGTCTCAGTCCACAAAATTAGGGCTAGATATTTTCTGAAACAAATACAAGGTCATACTCTCTTACTTTTAATGCTTTTTTAAAGCAAATTTTAACTCAGACATTGCATTAGCAATCGAAGAGTTATTGTAGATGAACGATCTGTCACTCACTTAGTCACTCACTTACTTTCATTTAAACTGCCCTTCTTGCTATAGTAATTATGAGGTCATATTTATTTTTGTAATCCTGGTCTTCCTTTACATTTCTCTGTATTTAGCTAAGCAATTTAAATAAAATAATATTCCTGAAGTCCTGCTGGGTATCGATTTCCCCATACATTGCCTTATGTTTCACAGGGAGCCCAAGCAATGACTTTGAACCAATAATAGTTAAAAATAAAATTTTACTTAAAAAATTAGTCTACTTTTAAAACATTTTAACATAGTCTACTTTTATTTTTTCAGTGTCACAATGCATTATAAATGGGTTTTGAAAAAATTCCCCTACCTATTAATTTTTATTGGCAAGGGAGGAATTCCTTTCGCTTCTGAAGCTTTTTGAAAGTGTGGTGTAGCTCGGCCGAGGAGCGAAACAGAACCCCAAATGTTGAGCAGCATCCATCAGCACTTGACAAAAGTTGGGCTATGATTCTTAGAGAGGTTGAATCCATGTCTTCCATCATTACACTTGCTATTACATTGAAGCTTGTGGATAGCTGCCAACCTATTGCTTGAGAGAAAAGAAAAGAACAAGCTGCTTTTGCAATATCCGGTGTGCACTCTTTGTTATTTGTAGATTACCTTTGGTACAGTAAAAACCTGCGTATAAGAACCTAACATTTTTAATTGTTCTTAAAAGAACCTGTTAGGCTAAAATTTTTAAGCATCTTTCACATAAGAACCATTTTACGCTAAAATTCTAAAACAGGTTCTAAAAAAATAATCTCAAAATATAGAAAAAAATATTCTCAAAGATATATTTATAAAACAGTCTGTACACACTGATTATATAGTTACAGTTACAGCATTTGATTATAACAGTAGTATTTTGCTTACCWAAGCCTCCAAGTATACTGTTATCAAACATAAAAGACCACATCATTTAAAAATTCTTACTTTTCTTCTTGAACAAAAGTTAATTTTACACTAAATACCATTTATATAAGAACCTGTTTAGGCTAACTTGAAAAAACCTGGGTTCTTATACGCGAGTTTTTACTGTTTTACATCATGATTGCGTACCTCGCAGGATACAATGTGATGTGGAAAAATTAATTAAGCACAAAATGCAGAATCTAAGTCATCATGGTGCTGATAAAAATATATTCCACGTTCTCGTTGTTCTCTTAAATATAATTGTCATTCTTTTTTAATATTTTTTATTTATTGTTAATTGTATGTAATTATGTATGTGTGTGTGCAAAGAGGAAAGATTTTGCTGTCAGGCACTTCCTCATACGATTATTTGTGTGTGCATGTAATTTACTGGCGAAGCAAAATAAATAATAAATTCAGGCCTCTTAGAGGGGCCACAAAAATATTTTAGAACATGAGGGGGGTACAAAAAACACAGATTAAAAAAGTTGAACATTATCATTGCCTTCCCCTTTTGATAAATTATTAGTGCTCCCAAATACACCGTTTTCAYATCTGGACATTCACTCTTATGGACTGAGGCCAAAATTATAAATTGATGTTTCCAGGACAACACTGAGTTGACCAACCTAATTTGGGGTGTTTTTGTACATCCCCAAAGTAGTCTACCTGCACACAAAGTTTCAGTGTAAGTCAAAAATGTTTGTTTCCCACTTTACTTGACAGAGTCCCTCTCTTAATCTCCTTTTGATTGAAAATAACTAGGAAAGTGTCAGTTGAAATTTAAGTTAAAAGGCACTTTAGAAAGAGTTCAACAGTAATATTATTAATGCTTCTTGTACCATTATATCAGGGACGAACTGAAACAGTTAGAAGTCTAACTGTTGAGGTAAGAGACTTTGTCAGAGCATTCATGGACAAGACAGTACCAAAAGAAGAAGTTATCAAGCTGATGAAAGCGGCTGCAACAAGGCATGCTATTAACTACAAAGACTGCATGAATGGTGAAGGTGTTGACAGACATTTGTTTGCACTTTACATTGTCAGTAAAGGACAGGGAAAGGTGRGAATTTACCTGTTTTGATTTACTCGGTATGATTGTGTGAATGTTTCTTTTAATATGTTTTRAACATTCCCAGCATGCAGCTCTCATGTGGAAACCATAATATCTCCCTGCAGTGCACACATTTATGTGTAGATATTTTCATATCATCTGCATATTTTATTTCCAAAATATGCTTAAGGGAATCCCTTGACTTGATATTTGAGCAATCACATGATAAATGAAGTCACATCTTTGATTAATACCTAATCAAAAACGTTGGCTAGTATTAATAGTTCATTACTACCAAAACAGGTAGAGTGACAATCGCGCCCGACAATTTACAATCGCTGATGACGTAAAAGATAGCGGTGTGTGATCACGTGAAATAACTGTCTCTGATCAACTTGTATACTCACGTGGTCACATTGCTTGTCGTTCGTTCATTTGTGAACTAGCTGAAAAGCGCGAGATGATCCANATCAATTAAAGCGGCGTTCATCTCTTGGGTCCATTTTGTTCTAACGCGGTGTCGTCCAGCATTCGTTGTTTCATCTCTCTGCTGAGGTTCCATTTGATTTCGAATGTGTTGCGTTTTAGTCTTCTTTGGTGTCGTAGAGAAGATGATGATTTGATGATGATTTGAAGATGATGATGATAATTATTATTATTATTATTATTATCATTATCATTATTATTACTAGTCATAGCTACCGCTAAGTGCCAACGAGGAGATGATGTTTTCCAGAAATTGTCATGAAGGGGATTTAGCGCGACATTAAACAAATAGATGAAATATGTCACATACTTAGAAACTAAGAAAACAGTCAGCGTCATGTGAAGTTTGTTGTCTTTTCGATCTTATCCTGGATGGGTCTCCTCCATGATGTCAGTTTTTTATAAGCGTCAGATTTTTATGTAGACTCAGTCAAGATATCATTGCAATGTTTTAACCATTAAAATGGTTTGTAGTAGCCTATAGACTCTTCCAAAGTCGCTTGCGAGTCGTTGAAGTACGCCATAGCTAAAGCAAGAAACTGTTGAAGTTAAATTACTGAAAAGACCATAAACGGTGAGTAAATTAGGTCTCTGTTCCTTCATTTTGTTGTATTGACTTGGCACAACTCCTAAGAGAGTTTTTAGGCAATCAAATTGTATTAGTCATATAGTCTTCCCACTGAACATGGATATCCAAGGAYATCTCGGATAGCTATTCTCTGAAAGCAATTGTTYGTTGTGCCGTAAATCATAAATGGCACTGACCAATAAATGAGTRCTTTAACTCAATGTGAGAATTCAATGAAATATGTACTCTGTGCTCTTGTTAGAYAGTTTTGTTTGTTTTAAAACTGACAGTTTGTCAAATAGTGCAGTGTACGCTGGCTTATTCGTGAACGCGTTGGTTCCTTTTGGTACTCAAGTTTATTGAACACGCTGGTTCGAGGATTGACTAAAAACACTCTTAGCAAGTGTGCACAGGTCAATACAACCANCGACCGTGGTTTACATTATTGTCTCTGCCCATTGGTCTATGCCGTGCTCTCTCTATCTTCGGTAGTAGGTGTCTCGTCAGAATGTGGTTTTCCTGTAATTTGCGTCATACAATGACTTCCATCAACCGTACTAATATCCTCTTGTGAAGATTACGTTGTCCTCGGCAGTTTTGAAGCTGTAACTCTGGCGCTTTCGCAGGCTATTATGAGATGTAGAATACAAACTACTAAGCCCCCTTCTCTTCTTTAGCACTTCTGACAAATGCAAGTTTTGTTCGTGAAGATTGGCGGCGAATTCTAATAATAATAATAATAATAATAATTTTATTTTATACAGCGCTTATACAAATCTGCTCTAAGCGCTTTCAAATTACAAACAATTACAATGACAGAGTCATGGTAGACTGCGAGCTTAAGATGGCGCCTCATGGCTGCCGCTCTTAGTCCGTCCCAAGATATCAAACTTAAAAATTACAACAATAAAAATTAAAATATAAATGACACTACAAAAAATACATACAAGGAATAAAGAAGCATGCATGATGGCCGGTGGCTCAGATGAGCTCATTCGCCTAATGACATTATAATTCCACATCAATTTTAAATTTACCCTGACCGAATATAAGATTAAAGCCTAAACTTTTACAGAGAATTTGAGAGCAAATAACATATTCAATTTGAAGCATTCCCATGAAGGCTTATATTTCACTCGTGTGACCAACTTTACACGCCATCTATTGATTTTGGCCAATCACAAGTCTCATAAGTCAACGTCCAATGAAATTCGTCCTCAAAATCTTGAGGACCTCAGAACACGATTAGCAACGGCAAATCACAGACGTTCTCTCCCCGATTTTTTGAGGGGTGAGAAACGGATGTACACAGGCTACTATACAACCAACAATTAAGATAAATGATCTGTACTGTTGTGATATCAATGACTCAATAGCTCTTTTAAGTCCCATACAATATTGATATCCATCTATACTAATATCACCATGTACATTACCAGTGTAGCTTACACTATAGTCTAGTCGATAATTTTCATCTAGTACTGTAAGCATTGTAGGCAATTCTGTTAACATTAAGAATGATTGTCGTGCTAATTGTGATAAATTGTTGTAGAGTTCATTTCCAATGTGCATTATTTGTTTTAAATCATTAGACGTTTGTATTCCTTTCATTTCATTACATATTAATGCACATAGACTCATTGCAACACATTGTTGCCCAGCATTTTCCCCAAATATCATAATGTTCTCTTGACTGTATGGTGCCTGAACAGTTTGACTAGAGTCAACATTTTGTACACAAGGACCTGGGTTTTTTTCCACGTCATGACAAAGTTTATACTTGGTACAATTCCCTTTGTGACTTCCTCCCTTGAACTCATTGTCTAATAAATTCGACACATTACTGCACGAAAACAATGTTATCCACGTTTGATAATTCCTAATTTTTTTATCTAAAGGCATAATATATCTATATCTTCTAGCAACCGGTCTAGGTTTCTGCCTTACTTTGTTAACAAAGGCAATATATTTTCTTCGAGTAAACTTATTTTTCCTTTTGAATTTACTTTTTATACTCGAAATAACACAATGAACTTCCGAAGACTTCGGTATGTTTTTGAGCACGCGACGTGATACATATCTCTGCAGATTCCTGTTCTTACGAGACAGACGACGTAATTTATTGACTGGAATTCTACTTGGTTCCCTGTCGCGCTTATTACAATGACATTCGCATACAACACGAGTGCAATGATTATTTTGCATAGCGCGATCTGAAATTTTGTACTTTTATTGACACAACAACATCATTACAACTGTTGACATTAGAAAAATTAGTATTTCTTGCTAGTATCACAGTACATGTAAGAACGGTGAATACAAGCATCCACGTGCAAAGAAGTGAAGCTATAAGAGTAAGTTGGAAAATTACAATAAAGATTACAAAAACCTTGCTGAATGTGTACTTATAAGTACTGAATATTATAAGTATAAATATAAGAATCCAAATACTCACTGCAAGGAATGTTTTAAAGTACTGATTAAAAAAAATGAATGATTGCTTTTGAGTCCATTGCAAGGTAAAATCCAATATGGCTTTCTTTCTGACCACCATTGATCGATCTCCTTTGACTTCAGATGCTTCTGACTTCCTCTCAGGATTCATACAGTCAGTTTGAATATCAGTTTTAGTAGGTTTGTCAGTTATATCGTAGTTTTCATTTGAATCATTTGAGATCTCGTGTGAACTAGTAAGAACTTTGCTAATAGATTCGTGGACCGGCCCGTTACGAAAATCACGCTGAACATCTTTTAGTGTGGGCCTACCACGAACGGYGTGTGCATTTGTGTGTGAGATCAGCGTCCTAGTTTTGATTTCCTTCATTGTCTTGATACAACTTCTTCAAGGTCGTCGAAGCTACGCAGCTTTTTTTGTTGACCACGAGGCCGATCTTTTGAAACGACTGCAGACTGCAGACTATCGAAATCGCGGGCGCTACCACTTTGAAGCCAAAAAATYAYAACAMMAMRACGAAAAACCAGCAGCATTTTTAGACATGGTCTTCCACAGGAAGCCCATGTAATTATTATAAAGTTTGATAATCCGTATACAGAACTTGAGAGCGTGTTATATCGGGGCTATCACCCGATGCAACACGCTTTCTCGTTCTGTATACATTACTTAAAATAAAATACTTTTAAATTAAGAGCTATAGGGTGAAATTACCGTAGCCACTTTCAAGTTATGCACCTTTACTACTGACAGAC